TCCAACAAATACATTTTAGGGCACTTAATTACCTGTGCTTCACTCTCTATCTTTTCCAAATTGTTTTTCCTGGTGTGTTGATGGGAATTCTCGTTTATGAGGCTTTTGCATGTTGCGTCGGTTTGATGGCAACGCATAAACAAGAGCACGAGAAAAAGCACTGTATTTAGAGCAGAGACAAGGCGACTAATGAGTTTTAAGGGGCCAGAGATGGGGCTCCAGGGTGCGATTTTCCAAACCTAATGAGCACAGGAAACAAAGGGCGAAAAAGCAGCCGCAATATGGCCAAATCCGAAAAAGGAATCCCGCCTGCGATTCCAGAAACAGTTAAAAGAATATTAATGATGGCCGGAGACCGGGCGAAGAAGTGGACTCCGGAGGAATTCCCTGCGGGTCAGCTCCACAAACATGGCCAAGAAAAGTGTGCAATGTTGCCGCAGTCCTATGGCTGCACAGCATTCTTCTCGTCTACTTTCTTTCTCGCCTGTCGCCGCACACTTTCTTCCCTTTCACCCACGCACGCATCATTCTGTAGCTGGGGTAATTAAGAGTTATGGGCCTGGGAGTCGAGGCCGAACAGAACTTATTAATTTCTGCATTATTTAAGCGTGTAATTTATGTGTTCAGCTGGCATTTTTAATTGCATTACACGGCGGTAGGTTAATGCATGTTAAATGCATAATGAGCACCGCAAGCCGATAGGAGGAGCAAAATGCCACTGGATGGAAGTGTCACACACGATGTGACGTTGCATGGCGTTTGTTTTATTAATTGAAGTTTAATCAGCGACAGCTGCCACAAGTCACGTTCACATTTCCCATTTCCCACATCACCATTTCCCAGCAGTCTGGGAAAGGTCAAACTTGATAGTAAACCCACTTTAAATGTTCCCCTGCGTCTCATAACCATTCCGAACTAACTTCAACTATCTAAGATCTTTTCTAAAACGACTTCCACTTGAGTGCAGCTTAAGTTCGACCATTTTTATGTTGGCACCTTTGGTTTTACACAAATTATTTCCGATAACATCTTAAGAGCCTTTACTTTTCTCTCCTTTCTCGGCTTCAGCCTTTTAATAATTTCATTTAGCGCGAAATTGTCTTTAGCCAAATTGAATTAGCCACCACCCATTTCTTGGGAGCGGGAAAGGCATCTTCTTGGTTTTTTCTTTTCACACAGTTTTATAGAGTAGTAAGATGCACTCGAAAAAATCTTATCAAATGCTTCGCACTTCAATTGACATATATTAGGTGAGCAGTGTATTTTTATATGGGTACATTTTAATTAAATATCTGTGCTAGACCATTATTATCAGTAAAAGAAATTTATTTTCAGTGTTCAGTATTCTGGTCATCTTAACCCAAACTTAAGAGTTGACACTTAACTTGGTCTAATGGCGATCAAGTTGCTTCAAGGTCTTGGCCGCAAAGTGGACATTGTTAGGGAGAATGGCGAAAGATGGGAAATGGAATTTAGAAGTGGCTTAGGCGGTGCCCAAACATTCGACCACGTAAAGCAATTTGCCAACTGCATCGATGTTAGCTTAAAAGCCCTGTCAAATAAAGGAAACGGAAAAATCAGGAAACATCTCGTGAGAGAGAGAGAGAGGGGGGAAAGGAGCAAGGACAAATAAAATGCAAATGTAAATAGGTAAATAAAATACATACAGTTGGCATTTTGATTTCAGGGGCGGGAAAATGTGTGAAGGGACCATCAAAAGGGGCGTGAGTTGTGTTGGCCAAATTCATTGGGCCAAAAAGCATGTGCCTTCCCTTTCCCTCTCACAGGTTTTAGCCTCGTTTTTTCGGTTCTCTTTTTATTTTTAGCCCTAGCCATATGGCATATATACACACTACTCTAGGTGTGCAACAGTTGAAAACTTTTCTTTCTAATTTGTTTAGACAAGCTGACAGTCTGACGCGCGCCACCTAGTGGCCAAAACTCTCAGCTTTGATGTACTTTCGGCCATTATTCTATTTGCAATTTTGCTCACAAACAACGGCAAATAAATAAGCAAATTGAAAAAATGTGAAACGAAATAACGCAAACAAACTGGTAAACTGGAAAACTGGAAAACTGCAAACTGTCAGGGGAGTGAAAATGGAAAGCGGTTGGCAGGAGGAGCAGGAGGAGCAGTTGGAGTTGGAGGCCAAAAGCAGCTACCGTTTTGGCACATGGCAATTTCCGTTGAGTGCACATGACAAAAATGTGGAATGTGCATAAAAAGTGCCACAAGATGGGCTCCTGAGAGAGGGGGCAGGGGGGAAATTCCTTTCGCAAACTGGCAAAAAGTTAAAAGTTTAATTGTGCGCAACTTTGGGCAGGATGTGATGTCAACCCAGGCAACCGGCAGGGGCCAAAGGACATCTGTGACAAGTTCTATTAAGTTTATTTTATATATTCTCACATTTTGCATTTAAACAAAGCAGAACGTGCTGCCACAAACTCGTTGTTGCAGCCAGGGGAGTGGAGGCGGCGCCGGGCTACGTACTCGTATGTGGAATCTGCAAGGGATCTGGGCACCGGAGGTCACTCGATTGCATCACACACACTTTTACGTGGCAGGTTGCGCACACTTGACTGCTCGATGGCCCCAAAAGTGCGGCACTTGCATCAGTTTCAGGACTTCTGGGCGGGACTCTCCGATCGCCCGCCCATTAAAATATATCCCAAAATGTTTACTGCTCCGTTAAACACTTGAGAAGGAGTGCTGGACTTAGGACTGGATTATTGTTTGATTCACTGAGTTATACAGCATTTCGTAGTTAGCTAATTCCTTGATAAATCTCAAGGAATTAATCTCTAATAATAATTAGCGCATATTATTTGTTCCCACTTTAAACAAGTTGAAAAGCGCTTGAATTTAAACTTGAGCTCTGCGGTTTTTTGAGGCAATGCCAACATGTTATTTTTAATCAAGTCCGAATTTTGCGCAGTGGAGCCAGGGGAATTGGCTTCCTCGACTCATAAAACGTTTAAATGAAAGAAAAGCAATATGTTGTCGCCCGCAGATGACAAGCAAACATCGTGGCCAGGATGCACTGGGCTTCGGAGTGTCTAGTCCTCCGGCTTGAGGTCTCTGTAAAATATTTACCAACCATCAGCCGCTGTCATACTTTTTTAATTGACTTATCAATAATTCATGCAACTCACACACACAGAGTGCCAGAGTGAGGCCCACATGTGAAGGGTCGCAGGTTGGGTGGTTGGGTGGTTGGGAGGTTGGGGCTGAGAATGCATACTCATAAATACAAATGAAGTCAGATTGCAGTGTGAATGAATAGGACAGCAGAGAGAGTGAGCGAAATGGAGAAGCAGGCTGAGGGGCAAGCAAAAGGTGAATTGCATCTACAACTCTTTTGCAGGTTCAGGTCAACGACATCCACTTTCTGTCGAACTTACCATCCTTTCACACTGCAGGAAGATTGCCTTCGTTTACTTTTCGGCTTGATATTTATTTTGATTAATTTAAGTCTGCTAGTCAGTCAGTAATATTTTTCATTTCCATGTGCAGCTTTATCTTCCGCCGCCCTGGATTTTTCTGGCTAGAAACTTGGGGGGCTTGCGGATGGTGAAATGCAAGTGGAGCCAAGTGATTGATGCATTTTTAATGCGAATTTCCTTGGACTATATACAGCAGCACATCCCAGTTGGATTAGGCTAAGATTTAAAAATCTTCTAAATATATATTCCCTGCCGCCTTAAACTAAATCTGCAGCCTTTGCGTCGGCGAACTTTTCCCATGCCATTAAGCTCTTGCCAACTATTCCGCAACCTGTGCGTTAGGACTTCAATAAATTTCCCAAAATCACGCGCGCATAAAAATCCATAAGCGTAGTTGGAATGGGAAGAGTAAGACAAAAGTAAGAGCATTTCTTTATCAGGGATAAAATCAAATTTAACGCATCGCTCGGTAGTAGTAGTAGCCCCCCTTTCCTAACCAAACGACGGCCTTTGTGTGCGTGTAAGGCCACGTACCCACTTGACATGAAGGTGGTGCAGCGAGGTCGGTGGTTTGGTGGTTGGGTGGTTGGGTGGTTGGGTGGCTGGGCACGTGCCGCGTGGATTACGCGTGGCACGCTGCTGCGAAGAAATATGAAAGGAAAGCAGCGTGAAATATGTGCAGCATAAGACAAGGCGCATAATCAAAATGTAAGCAACAACAGCGCAGTGCAGCACCAATGGCTGCACATGCCACTTACACAAGTGCAAAGACGTCGCCCCAGCCCCTCGCCCCTCTCCACGGCTTAATAAAGCAGCAGGCTGTCGTCCCCCCTTTCGGCCAAAAACAAAGGGCGCCGCACAAAAATGTTACACCCGAGCTGCCAGTTGATGTAGCGCACCATTATTTCAGGGGATTTTCTAAGGGGTGTTGCTTGTATTGGGCCAGAAGCACTCGACATATCGATCATGCTTTCTATTGCAGGCGAAAGCGGGCGAAAGTCTTTACATGATTCGGCTGAAAGCGAATGATTGAAAAGGATGCTTTCGTTTAGGAACTTTTAATTTAAGCTCTATAAATCCAAGTCATAGAAGGTGCAAAGGGTGTGTCTTAGAAGCATATGAATTAAATGATGCTATCAAAATAATTTAATATAGTAGCTGCTAGAAATTGCCAAGACGGAACATTCGCAGAAATTTAAACTTTAAACTGAAGACGGTGGCTGCCGAAAAGTAAAACTTGAAGTTTCTTGAAATCCAAGCCACCCAAAGATAATCCCCAGAATAATTTGCATGGACCTTGCTTGCTTATGTACATAAATGCAAATTCCGGCCCAAATTCTAGTACTCCACTTAGAGTTTTCAGCTGCCAAGCTAAGTTTGCGCGACTTTCCACCGATTTATGCAATATTTCAGTATGCAGGATTCCGTATTCCCCAAGCTGTCACTTTTGTGTCGCATTTCGCTGCTGGGCCATTTCGCCCAACTCTATCTGTATCTGCAGCTTTTTCTATCTTATATCTTTCGGCTCGGCTCGCGGAATGGAAGCTGTCACTCACCTCTTCCTCATTGCTGGCCGTGTTCACCGAGTCCATGCTCTGCGAAAGTCCCAGCGGGGCCAGAGCCATCTGATTCTCCATTATGGCGTTGCTGCTGCTGCTGCTGCCGCTGCTGTTCAGGTTGTTGTTGCTGTCGCTAACGGCCGATGTTGCTGGTGTGCCAGTTGCTGCTGCTGCTGTTGCTGCTGCTGTTGCAGCGCTTGCTGCTGCTGCGGGGGCGGCGCTGGTGACGCTGCCTGCCGGCGAGGGCGTGGTCGGCGCGGAGGCGGTCGCGGAGTTGGACTCGTGCGAGTGCGATTCGTGGGCGGGACTGTCCGGCAAGCTGCCGCCGCTGGTCGGCACAGCAGCAACGGATGTTGCAATGGGCACCGCCGCTGAAGCTGCTGCTGCACTGCTGTTGCTGTTGCTGTTGTGCTTGTTGCTGCTGCCGCTGCTCAGAAGGATGTGCTGCTGCGGCTGCTGCTGCTGCTGCGGTGCGTATCTGTGCAGCTGATAGCCGCCGTAGTGGGCCAGAGATTGCTGCTGCTGCTGCGCCTGGTGCTGCTGTTGCAGGTGCTGATTTAGGAGAGCTGCTGCTGCCGCCTGGTTGAACTGGGCCAGTCGCTGTTGCTGCTGCTGCTGCTGTTGCTGCAACTGGGGTGAGGCGGCGACTGCGTAGGCAACCTGCTGCTGCTGCACGGCCTGCTGCTGCTGCTGCTGCACGGCCTGCTGCTGCTGCTGCGCCTGCTGTTGCTGCTGCTGCTGCTGGTGGTGGGCGGCGACGGCGGCCGCAAACTGCGTCGGATGGGCGAAGCTCAGCTGGTGGTGGTGCGGATGCGAGATCGGATGCGAGTGCGAGATCTGGTGGGAGTGGGCGATCTGGTGTGTGTGCGTGATCGGGTGACCTTTGACCGAGACGGGCACGGGCACGGGCACGGAAACGGGCAGCGGTACGGACACCGGAACGGGCACGGGAACGGTCACCGGCAGCACGGAGACGGCGGCGGCACACTGGCGCTTGGGCGACGGCGACAACACCTGTGGGGCACTTGCTGGCGTCTGCGGCAGCGTCGGCCTGCGTTTTATCGCAATCGACGAAATGGTGATGGCTTTTTCGAACACCGCCTGCTGGTTGTTGTTGCTCGGATGGCTGCTGCTGCTGATCTGGTTGATCGGGCCAATCGAGGTGAGGGGGTTGCTGATGGCTGCTGGCGTCGTCGGCGCTGCTGGCAACAGGTGTTGCAGTTGCAGTTGCGGTTCGGCGGCTGCTGCAGCGGCTGCGGCGGCGGTGGCGGCTATGAGCAGTTGATGATGGCTGCCCAACAGTTCCTGGTAGTTGGCTATTTTGACGAGTCACTTGAACTGCGAAAGAGCAAAAAGGAGAGGATATTAGCAACATTAATAAACATAATAAGATACATAAAAGAGCTTATATGTTCTATACAACTAGACATAAATGTCCCTAAACATTATATATTGCAATTCCCTACTTATCAATTTTCGCAAGTAATCAGTTCTTTCGTTAGACGAACTGAAGTTCTGACGTAAACAGAAGTCAAATATTTGGCCAGCGTTTGAGCTATTGTCTTTTCGTAGATGTATGCAAATAATACATCGATATGTCGAAATACTTTCGGGTTTATTTAGCATAATGCAAATGTTTACATGGGAGGCAAAGGGAGCACGAAGGTCTTGAACAACACTGCATAAATCAAAAGCAAATATGACGACAAATGTGTTCGATGCGACGGAGGGTGAGATGAAAAAGCAACTGGCAAGCATTGACATTCAAAATATACTGGAAATATCAGCTATGCAAAGCTTATCGGTGCTGCACATAAATCAAACTTATGGAGTGCTACTTGGTTAACCGATAATCGAAGCAATACAAACTCTCTAAATTAAATGTATCTCAACTCGATCACAAAACATTTCCATTCAGCAGCTGTTTGTCCCAGCCATCTGCATCTAAGATTGCACACATATGCAAGCATGCTAGGAATGCACATAAGCATAGTGCAAGCACAGAGTGCTCTTTCTTTCAGTGTAGCGCACACAAACACACTCGCACACTTACTCTTATCATAGTGAGACATCAGCAGCAACAACAACAAGGCCAGCTGGCAACTCCATTGCGTAGTTGGGTACGGAAAAATTTAAATACACAGAGGCAAGCAGCAGCGGCAAAATGGGAATAACAGCAACAGCAACCGCAAGGCAAACAAACAAACAAACAAACAAAACCCCAGATACTCAGGGCAGACTATCCAGAACACACAGGAGAGTGGGTGGGGGGGGGGAAACCAACTTGAAAATTGAGCTGACAACAAACCGAAATTGTATTACAAACGCTCGCTTGAGCTGGCAAAAATATGCACATAACTAAAGTTCAGATCCCGAAGATATGTTTCGGGATCTCAATATGCATATGGATGTGAGTTGATGTGTAAATACATGCGGGCTGGTACACAAACAGGGCTTTGAATGCGGATTATAATGGAGCAAGGACGGAATCGAGCCACCAGCCCCACGTCGCTCCACCTCGACGCCTGTGAATTGTATCTGTATCTGAATCAGTATCTGGCGGATGATTCTATGCAGCTCGCTCGGATAAATCCACATACTTTGCATGCGAGCATGACAAAATATGCAGGCGATAAAACAAACTTTCGGGCTGCTAAGACCTCATCAGCGTTGAGAAGGAAGTCGGTTCAAAACCTAATACGAATTTAATGCGACCCCGCCAATCAACGATGATTTGAGGATGGCCGCTCTAATCCTGTATGATTAATAATTGATCACAATATAACCGTGGCAGCCGCACAATGAATTTAAAGTAGTCAATGAAGCACCCAGATCTGTGTGGGCTTAGATAAATAAGTGGGTATATTCAAAAGTGTGTTTGGTATCGAGTGGCGTGAGATTTATGGCCCAAGATAAATGAGCGGGCGGTCCACCGGGCGTATGCGCAATGGCCGAAAAACATGCGGAACACATCATACACCTATAACGTAGCAAAAACTTATGACATACTCGTAAGCATTAATATTTGCCAGTCATAGTATCGATCATCAGGCTGCGCCAATGATACTAATGAAATTGATTTCCATAGGACCAATTAATTTAACACGAGAGCCAACAACAACTTGTTGTCGCAATTTGCGAGATCAGATAATGCGATACGGTGTGTATAATAGAATTGAATTTCTCCCAAAAGGCCTGGGCTTTGATATCGAATTCTCTGTCGCTCTTTTCCCCCCTGAAATCTGAATTCTCAATGCACTTTTGCAGCAATAAATAAGTGACTAACACTCGCCAGGCATTGTTTGCATAAGCAGCGGCAACAGCACTACAAATTCTAACAAAATACAATGGAAAAAGTCGGGGAAAACCGGGTTTTGGGGGGACGGGCTTACAATGCAACCCGGAGAGTAACAATACTGCCGGTCGTAGCCTGTCTGTGCCATGGCCCTGGAAATTAGTCGGTAGAAATGTGAAAAAAAGTGTACAGAAAAGGTCGGAGGGAAAAAAAAGCATACACAAAACAGCGAGTCATAAATATTGCTAATGAATTTCCCGCACGCTTTGCTAAATAACAACAATAACAAACCGAACCGAATCGAGTCGCTCTCGTAACTATGCTGAAACGGAAGTTGGGAGCGGGAGCATTTGTTGCTTTGTTTTGGCATAAAATAAATATAATTAAATGTAATTTTTATAATGACAAATGCCTTTGTTGTCTGTGGCGCGCCCTCACCAAAAAAGGGGAAGTTGAGCAATTATAGCCGAGCTCTGAAAAGCACATCCATGAAACCGAAACGAACCCAGAAATTGTGTATCCCAAATAGCCAGCGTTAAATCTAGAGCAGCTTACAGATCAATTTTGTTGGCTGTATAAAACGCGAGTTTGCCCTCTGGCAAAGTCGATTTGCCTGCTGTTCGCTCGATTAGCTGGCTAAAGGCCCTATCCCTCCACCTCCCTCGCAATCAATCGAGATCCACTGTGGAATTGTAAAAAAAACTAATAGATGCACGCCCACGATCCTCAGGGGCATTATGATGATGATGATCGGATGGCAAACGAGTTTTGCCATAAAAATAAAGATGATTTTGGCCAGATCACTTGTCAGCAACTGAATTCGCAATTAGCATTGCTAATGCGTGAGGATAGACAAAGCCCAAAGTACTTGTATCTGTAAGTACGCTGCAAGTATCTGCAGCTCCCACGTGATATTTTTTGTTTGTTGCGCATTCCGCTCGTTGAAAGCACTTGAGATAAATACGATGTGTTATAGATACACTCGTTCGTCGCTCGACTTGGATGCAAATGTATCGTGTTTCGTGCCAAATGCCCAAATTTGTCAACAGTTCGTCATTATGATGATAGCTAGATAGATTGCTAGATAGAAGAGCCCCAGAATTGGATGAGCTGACACGCCTAGTGGCACTAGAATAATAAACTCGTCTCCATGGGCCAGGTGGTTCTGGCCATAAAGTGGGCAAAATATCTACTGTCATTGTTATTGCTCTACACTCGCAGTTGCATAATTAATATTTAATATGACAAGCCCAAAGCATTGCCAAAAGTTTTACCGAGTGAAATATTCTGTTTCTCAGGTCTTTCCAGCCCAATTTTATTTAAACTCTTCTTTTGTACACTGCTCTTCATTCGCAAATGTGACGAACCGTGTAGTTTCAGGCTGCTTAGCTACTTAAATGCAATATATTTGGGGGATATTTTAGGTATAAATAAAATATAATTTATATTAAGAAGACATAATTATTTTACATTCTACAGCTTTTCATTTTCAGCTCTTTGCTATGTTTGACTTTTGGCGCACTAATTCACATTAGGAATGACCCAAGGCTAAAGCCGCAGGGCATTGAAAGTTCGGCTTGTTCTTCAAGTTCTTCCGCCCGAATGTTTGTTTTCGTTTTCAACTTTTCCCTGGCCAAAAGGACAGGGAGAGGGGGTGGGAGAGGCAGACTCGTTTTTGGCTCGTTGCGATGCTTATGCGCCGCATATATTATGATGCTCGAGCAACATTTTTTATAACTTGGCATGCTCCAATTCTTTGGTGCAAGAGCCCGACTCTTGCCTCACGGCGGGCCGTCTCCATTTTGCCATCGGCTGGGGGATTGGCGGTGGAAAACTTGAGGATGAACCATGCCGAATGTATCTACGAGTTAGTTGGTTCTCGGCAACTTACTTTTCCTTTGGCTTCGACTCTTCTCCATACATTGAGATGAATACAAAAAACGAAGAAGGGTGTACTTCCTTCGTTTTTCAGAAAATTACAAAATCCATTAAGTTGCTTGCACGCAACTTAAACATAAATCCATCATACGCCATGTGGCACACATGCACACAGACAGACAGAAAGAGAGGCAAGGACAAGTTGCAAGTGGTCGGTGGTGGATGGTGGGTGGTGGATGTTGGGTGGAGTGTGTGTTTTAGGTTAGTGTAGCATAAGTATAGGTAGCATATCCACGCTATATGGCATGCACCAGCCACGCCCACGCCCCCTGCTCTGCTGATTCGACTGCTTTTATTATCCACGCCATATTTTAAGCACAAACATTCAGACACTCGAGTGGGTAAGTGGGTTGGGCGCAGTCGACATCCACATCACATCTCTATATAGTCTGTGTAACTTTGGGTCTGTTATGCAGCCTCTTGCCTTTTCTTCAGCCTGCAAGGCTTTCAATTTAATTTCCTTGCCCGACTTGACTGTCTGACTGACGAACTTTGAGCTCACAGTTTTCGCCAGCTCTTCGATACTTTCCAATTTGCTTTCAATAGACGCGCCGCCTCCCTTTTGATGGGATGTATATCTTTTAGCTGATAGCCAGAGATACCATAAATCATAGAACCGATTACGCCAAATTGCGAACGTTAATGTAATAAAACCTCGGACCCAAAATTGCCAGTGAACTTAAGTAGACGTGGAGAAAGAGCGATGTGGGAAAAGTAAAACTCACGTCTTGGCAGAATTGAGCGGGAAGAAAGACAGTAAGACAATAGACACACTCTGCGTGTGAGAGTGAGCTTCAGTCTGCAGAATCTAGTTCAAAAGTTCAAGCGAAAAGCGGAGATTGAAAGACACCAGAAGACACGATCGCAGAGAAAGGGAGTCGCAATGAGATTGCTCGTTTTGGGCGCTTCTGTTTTGGGTCAAAACTCAGGTTTTCAGAGGGTCCGGCAATAAGCTAGCTGCTTGCTGCTTGTGACTTTCGAGAATGCTTTTCGCCCGTTGCTACAGTTGCCACAATCAAAGTGTAATGCCAACTTGGCCAGAAGACCGCAAATCAATGTGCGTCAATGATTTGCCTGTCGGTGACAAGTA